TCAAGCTCAAAAAAATAAAACAAATCATATCATAATTGTTATGCATTAGTTCTTTTAAATATTAGCCTGTTATAATTGTGTTTTTCAGTCTTGTTTCTAATATATAAGTGGTGCAATTCTGCACATCTCGTAATGACACTGTTACTTTCGTCGGAGAAAGGCGCTTAATTTCGTTAAAGGCTAGTTAATTTTGATATTTTGCTGCCAGAGATGTACCCTAAAAACTCCGGACTCATGCGCGAGAAGGCAACACACAGGGGGTTTAATAGTTGGGTTTACAATGGAGATAAATAATTCGTAATTTGACATTCGTAATTTAAATACCATTAAAACTCCTTCCTCCATTAATATTTATTTGTATTTCCTTCAAAAATCTTAAACCCAATCAAGCTTACACATACGCATACTTGCAGAAAGAAAAGCTGGGGACAAGTGGTCAAAATTTTGTCAACTCCAATTTTCACTCAGAAAATAAAGATTTTTCTAAATATTTTTTGAGTTATATCAGTTATTAAAATATTTGTTTAACTACATCAAGTAGATACTGGTATGAACAAATCATCCCTTTTTAACTCAAATCTACAAAAGAACAGTGAGGTGCGAATACTGAGGCTTACACATTCCTGACGTCTTGATTTTTGAACGTGTAATGTACTTTCTAAAAATATTAAAATAGGTTTGATATGTAATGTGTAGGGAGCGAATTTCTATGATTTTGCAAATTTTTGTACGTTGCTTCAGTGCATAACTGTGAATCATAAGTGAAATTTCTGTGACATTTGGTTAGAATATGATGCTACATAGAGTTACTGCATATTTGCGCATATGTGGCGGATTTTTCCTGTTGATCCATATTCATGTAATTATAGGCGCATATTTTTCATATTTCGTTAATATCTATTCATATTTCTATTTCTGTTTCTATTTCCATGTATTTGTCAGCGTTCTTTGATTTGAAAAAGGTTGTCACAGTTTGCGGTTTTGGAGTGTTTTTTCATAGATAATAAAATATTTGTGCAAATGTCGGATATTTCTTGATAACATATTTTTTCAACTATAGAATAATAAATACAACAAATCATACAATCTACTTTACTAAGTTGTATATTTACTTCAATTGTTTCTCTCGCGAAGTACGGGTATATTATATTATGTTTGCACAAAAATATAAATTTTCATTACAAGCACGCTCCTCCTGAAGATTATCAAGAAAGGTTTACAGATGAAATGAAATATTGTTAAGTTTAATTGCATATTAAAGTTCATATTTAAGAATGTTTAGGTCATAAATGCATATTTCAAGATTTTTAAGGGTGTAAAATTCGTCGTCCTATTGATGTACCTGGTGAACATTTAAATTTCCCGCGCGCACCGTCGACAGCGCTTCCTCCTTCGGAGCGGCCGGAGGAGGAAATGCGCGGGTCAGGCGCCCGTGATGACGAGCTCATGGAACATGGCGAACAGCTGGGCCTATTTAGCGCCTAACTAGTACATAAGAGCGCCAGCAGGCGGTCGTGAAATTGGAACTGTGCGTTGATAAGAACGTGTATAGTGAAGTACAGACACCGTTGCGCCGGATTAAGTTATGTCCCTGGGCTGTGCTCCCTGGAAACTGTGGTAACTACGCATTGACCGGGACTTTCTTCTGGAATATCCTAACAAACGGGACACGGACCACGCGCGATCTTTCCTTCCATTTTCTTGTCCCTTCTTCATCTCTTACACGCACATTTTCATACACTACACTACCACACAAGCCGGAAGACCGATCGGGAGATTAGAGCTTGCCATGGCTGGGGCGGTCCCTCGCTGGTGGGAGATACCTGGAGTGTGTGTGTGTGTGTGTGTGTATAATCGTCTAAAAAAAGTACATTTTATCTTCAGATCGTTTCTATAGAATTCGTGGAAATTCGTGCTACCTTGAAAATTGGCCTTTGCTGTTTTTATATTAATGAATTTTGTTTTCTTTATTTTTTGTTTTGTTTTTGTTTCTTTGTCCGGTGATTGGCATTCTCTGAATTAGAACCTTCAGCCAATTACACAACCGTCTTCTCCCAACATGATTCTGAGAGCTGCTGTAAGGAATTTCCCACCTGCTTCCTGGAAAGGGTGCAATAATCACTCAGAAAGAAGTTTCTCTGCACGCACACGGGCTTCTAGCGACGGATGGCCTTCAACTCCTACGGCACAAAAAATGCAACAATTTCATTCAGCGGCACAAAGAATTCCACACTTTCTTAATACATAGTATTCCATTAGATCTTTTATCAAATATATTTTTGGCTTATAAAACACCATTATACGTCTCACTTCTATAATACAACACCGGCAAAATTAGCACAAAATTTACCTAAAAAAATGATGGTGAATTTAATACAAATTCAGCACGAGTTTAGAATGCAACTGAACACTTACATTACTGTACTTAGTGACACTGTCATTAACTGTCAATAACTTTTAATTGTCGATCGCAATGGCAATCGCCATTGACCTCTTAATTAATGTGTGAATTTGTTCCGAAGAATAAAATCTAATTTTTTACATACAGGCTCCCTTAGGTCGCCTAGATGATGATGATGATGATGATGATGTGATATGAATAATGACAGGATTTCAATCCGGGTTTCTAGCAGACTCTTCGCTGAATTGATTTGTTGCAGCTTTCGTGCCTGTGATTGTAGTTCTCTCCGTCGCTGCATCGACCCACCTACGCCCTTATTTTCACCAATCACGGACTCGCGGAAGACTAGGCGGGGTCTGGCAGGCTTCGGGGAAGTGCCTTTTCAAATCCGCTTGGATTCCACTCTTCAAGACGGAAGACGTTCTCGACTTAGGAGCTTTCATTCTTCTCGAAGGCGAGACTTCTTCACGGATTCTGAAAGCCAGGAAACAAGGCATGAATAATTCGTGTGGAGAGTATTCAGCATTCGTGGTAGATTCTCTGAAACGAGAATAATTGTAAGATTTTTAATACCTGGAAGTGTAACTTTATCTGACATTCTTATGCATTCACGAAGTAAATGTTGAATGTGCAGTACATTTAATCTTCAAGTGTTGTCATTTTTAATACTTTCTTTGCTTTACAAATATAATTCTTCTATTTTACTTTCTCGCTATTTTACGTACTTAGGAAAGATAAATTATTTTAATGCTGTAGCGTAAGTAGTGATTTTTCGTCTCAAATCCTCGTATTATGGAGCCCTCACACCGAAAGAGTGGGTAAATTATGTTCCTCTAAGTAGTAAATGACTTCCTCTAACACATTGTGCAGTCAGAATCCACATTTTGAGGTCCTTCATGCCGAAAAAATGGTTGATGGCAAAACATCTGTCTCTCCGTCCGTGGTCAACGCTAGCGCCTAAACCTCTCAGATTATTTTCCCCAAATGTTGTTTGAAACGTATATTTTTACTTTTGATAGCTGGGAGCTTCACATTAACATTTTAAAAATTTTCTCAAGAATTCCTCCAGATATTTTTCATTATTTTTTCCTCGGATAAGGCAAGGGATACTTAAAAAGGGCTGAGATCTCATTTCGGTGAAACACTCTGAAATTTCTAAAATATTTAAGTTATGAATAATACAAGAAAATATGTGCTGTCTTAGCTCCAGATTTTTTCTTCTCTTATAGTTTCCTCATTACTTCAAGATGTTCGGAAAGTTTATTTTTCTATTTTTTCACTGTTTTATTAATGAGTATTCAGATGTTATAGTCATTTGCTTATTTTTTTCTTTTTTATCATTTACGGTCGCAACAATATCTAGGTCATTATCCACAACTAATAGTTTTAACGTTATGGGTAATGGTGAACAAGGTATAAAGATATGGTGGTGAGGAGGTTTGAAAGGTCAAGCACAAATACAACCATGCCTGAGACGGGACTCGAAACCGCGATCCTTCGGCCCGAGATCTCTAAGGCACTACTGCATTCATTTTCTTTTTGTTCTGCATTCTAGGAATGTTTTATTTGCCAGAGTGTTTATTTATATCCATCTATTCATACAGGAAAAGAAATCAATTCTCCCTAAAGTGTATCCCCACCCTAGCTTGCCGTGTATTACGCCGAACTGCTCATATCCACCCCGATCTATTCCACACTCCTCGTTCTGTGCTCCTGCCTGCCTTACCATGTTCACTTCCATCACCGGTGCTATCCTGAAACTTTCATACCAATTCAGAAGTGTAGTGGAAACACACATTGAAATTGCAATTACATTTTCAATCTACACTGAATTGCACAATCTAGTACACGCACAAAGCATGCGCTGTGACCTCACGTCTAAGGTACTGCCAAAACTGTTGTTTACGTCTCCGCCAGATTGTCTTTAATGTGTGCATTTCAATTTTTTAATGTCTAATAATTATTAATATTTACTTTGCGTATACAAACATGACTGCTACTCATGCAGTCATCAGTGGGAACTTCCAGCTTTTTCATTTTTTTGCTGAGTTAGATTATGTAGTCCTATTGCAAATGGAATATTTATATAACACGTTTTAGAATTAATAAGTATTAGACATTATCAAAGTCAAACTAATCCTACCATTTTCTCCAGTCGTCAAAAATAATCTCATATCTGCTCTGCATTTATTATTTCTTGTTGTATAAAGAAGTTTTATGATAAAATCTTCCAAGTTTTCTTCTTGGATTGAACCCCGAATTTCTTCCAGCAATAGACCAAAAACAGATTTGTATACAATTCTTATCCTCTCGGGCAGATTTACGAAATGTTCCAATACTTCAATTTCTCTTGGCATGTTTTACGCAGACGGTTATTAACACTAATGTCGCGTAGGATCTAGAAGAGAACTTAAGCGCGCACGCCTGATAGACTCATTGGTAATGAATTAAAGACTGATGGCTTTTCAGGCATTTATTTTATTTTATCGTCTGTCCTTTTTCCTGAAAATGTCTCAAAAAATGTTTCACTCGTTGTGCGGAAATTTATGTCATTCATAAATATATTACTAACAATCTAAATGTATTTAATTTGTTACAGACGAATCAGTGGAAGTGGTAGACCCGTCGGAAAGTCCCACATTCTACTTTCCCGTCAACAAGCTGAACCTTCTCGTGCCAGCGACTTTACCACGAGGCTCCATTTTGTTTCGGACAAAAGCGCTTCCGTTGTCAGACAATTCAAGTGGCAAAACTCCCAGCTATCGCTCTCTCTTGAAAGTACCCTCATGGCTCCAGATTGACTCAGATGAACTGGACCTTGTAGTTAAACTTCGCAGAAATGCAACTCCAAGTAAGTCTACTAGCATTTCCTTTTTTATTTAGAGTATACGTTCATTTGAAAGAATATTAGAATGATTGGAACGAAACTATCAAACCTCCATAATGATAAACTTTATTTTCTTATTATTGTAGATTATTTTACTTTTTACATAACTATTTTCCGAAATGCAATAAAGCATCAAACGTTTAGATGAAACATTGAAAATTAAATCTTTATATTACTCTGTAATCTTAAGTTGAGAATTTTCTTAGCAGTATATTGTAAAATCCTTTATATCGAACGAGCTTAACATTTCAAAATCATAAGCACAAGAATAGCAGTTTTTTAGCATTGGATTAGAATCTACAAAACTTACTACACTATAATAAGAGATTGTGGTGCAGTTTTTTGATTCGTGCTAAATTAAAATGACAGGAGTAACATTATTAGATACAAATCATCTGATTTGGAAAACATTCTCTTAATTGCTCTCTTAATAAGTATCAATTTCAACAATAAAGTGCTTGCTACTTATTAACTCATCATTCATTTATAATTTAGAATCTGATCATTTACATTTATGATTTTAGTCGCCATATTGATTTAAGTATACAGAATATTATTGTATAGATATTCTTCTTTTAAGGCACTGGCAGGTAAAACTATTTTTAAATTCAAATTTATCTTACATCTTTTCGAAACAAAAATATTTGATACATAATCACTAGTATTCATGAAGATAATTTAAAATTAACCTTGCACTAAAAGCATGTACTTTGAGTTCACAATTTTCAGAAGTCCACAATTTTCGCAATTTTACTAGAACATTGTACCATTTCAGTTTTCCGGAAATATAGTAGCAAATAGCTGTTTTGAGGAGCGAATGAAACATGTGTAACTTCGTTATATAAAGTTTCTCACCACATGTTCATTTGCAAATGCGATCGTTGTCGACTCTGCAAACCCTATAGGTTGTGAAGATTTATTCTAAGACACCTGCATGTATAATCTGTATAATATTCGGAAATACATTTTGTGACAATTTTATCAACTTATTTCAGCAATAGGTTCTTACCAAACTTAATTTTTAATTTTTTAAATTTTATCTTGTGTTTATTTAGGTGTGGGAACGGTCGTTGTAAAAATTGAAGCAGAAAATACAACGGTGGATGAACTACCTCATGACGACAGTCTCAACGAGGTGCCCCTCAACGTGTTGGTAATGGAGTTAACCGTGCTCAACGAAAACTCAACACGTGTACTTTGCGCGGCAGATAATTCAACTGTGAGTATTCCATGTTTCGTATCCATGTAACAACTAATTTCATAAAATTAGAGATACGATGTTTTTGTATTCGACAAAGGTGACAAACGCCAATTTATAGCTATTTCAAGTTTTCTTGACCAATTCAATCTTGAAACCCAACTCTCACACTGACTCTGGATACACTTCGAGTGTCACTCTCGCTGAACTTACTTCCGCCTCCTAACTCACTGTTCTCAACTCAACTCGATAAGACCCGAAATTTCTTCCCTACATTAAACTATATCACCAGACCGACTATGCGTCCACTGGCTTTGCTAGGCAAAGCTACCGTATAGAACGGCGCCCCCAGAAATGGGAGGGCCGTAACGGCGTCATGGCTGGGCAGGCAGCCGAATCGCCTGGTCGCTGCATGAACAGTGCTGCGCCCTGTCGACCGCTGCCCGGACTTGCTGTCGCGCACGATTTCCAGCGCGTACACAGTTGACAAAAAAGCTTTCGATATCTTGAAACAGAAACTATTTGCATCGAAAAAAGACATACAGATTATATACTAAAGTACCACTGTGAAAATAACTGACCCTCACAGACACGTACGCAAACATATCGCATTAAAACTAAATAAAACGTGTGCGTAAACCTCATGTAAAACAGACACCAAGGATTGCATTGGTGTCACTATTGGCAAACTTAAAGCAAACAAATAATACAATATTCGTAAATATAGAAGAAAGTTATTCATGTGTATATTGAATTCTCATCATGTTTTTTTGTTAGAAGACTGGACGTAGGAAACACTGAAAGCACCAAATATTAAAATTTAAGGCAACAGAAAAAGCGAGAGATTTATATTACAAAAATTTTTTATTCACTGACCGAACTTATGACAGATTTACATAATTGATAACGTCACGCATAACAAGTGATTAAAAGGTATTTTAATTTTATAATATGTAATCATGTGAAATGAAACGTTTATTGTGCTTAGCATCACTTTCCTAATTTAACTTACGAAGAACAATTCACTGCCTCAAAATGCGTCTGAGTATATTTTTGTGATTCACACTAGAACCTTCAACGTTATAATTTAGCTTGTACGTAATTTAGTGAAAGTTTGAACAAATAGTGTATTTTATATTATAAACGTATTACAACATTAACGACGATCTCAAAAGCTGACAGTAATTTTTAAGAAGTTTATGACTAGTATTTTTTTCTATACGCTCATGAGATAAGATATGGTTTGTGTCATTAGCTGTAATCACAATTTAAGCTCATGACACCCTACTCGAAAACTCTGAAAATGTGTAATTTTAGCACTTTCAACTTTCACCGTTTCTTTTTATTAATTTCTATTGCCCCAATTTTTGTATTCCTATTTATACACTTTCTTTTCTTATTAGGTAATTTTTATCTGTTTTTATTGTGCCCTCAGCCTGTATGGTGCTCAATGGCTATTGAGCATATTGAGTTCTTTGTTACAAAACGTAGTTGAATCAAAATCTTTTTTTGTGACAGGAGAATCTATGCTTTTGGCCTTTTGTGAGCTGGCGAGTGCTGGAGGAGGAGCCGGAAGTGAGCCTGAGTTCCCCAGGGCCAGAGTATCTGCAACGCTTCTGCAACAGAACATTCCAGTATCGACTGGCCGCAAGTAAGTGAACGCAGTGTCAAAGACGGATATCCTTGTTGGGTTGGTACATATAAAAATATTTTTAAACAATAAATCGTGAGATCAGAAGATTCTCTCACGATGAAGCTGAGGGGATTTGTCGCCTTCCGTTTCGTTGGCAGCGTACGGTCGTCAATTTTGGCTCCGCAGAAGAAAAACAATAGGCAATATTTGTTGTCAGTGTAGTGTCTCTGAGTTCAAGATTTCGAGTCCTCTTGGTGGCAAGATTTTCGACCCTAGCTAGATAACTAGATCGAATTCAGCCGCAGTCTGATATGACCGATAGTTTTCCGTGGTTTCTCCGATTAACATCAGGCGAATCCCGCATCAGTACCCTAACAAACAGACCACGGCTTAGAGCTCATCCCACTGATGCGGTGCTCCGCTGGATGGAGATACCTGGAGGGTGAAATCTTCTCAAACTGACATGTAGGTCAGTGAATTTTCTCACCATGCAGCGAGGGAGAAACATCCCCCCCCCCAGATAAAAAGATTCACTACACCAACGGGACTAATGACAATACCACTGCAAGTGCCCGAAATCATCAATCAATCATTTGCTCAGGCTGCAATGCGTATTTGAGTGCTGCTGTTGACGATCCCGTGCACTAACAACTGAGATATTTAGGAAAGTTATAGCAGGCTATTGTGGACTGCGCTAAAATATATTGCGTGTTAATTCACATTTCAACTCGAAAGTTTGCGAAAACTGAAAAAATAAGTTTACATTACAATCACAGACGTATCTTCTTTTTTACCTTCAAGCTCAAACATAACTTCTGTTCTTTCTGTGTCGCTAATTGCAGCGCAGTTGGTTATAATACTCGAGTCTCTCAGCTTTTGCATAACTGAATTTCTCTCTAATTATCACGTTGATTGACAACCACTTTGTCATACGTAAACAATGTCCGTACACACATTACATTCGCGGAATATTTGAGATTGCCATTAACCAAAATTTCCACCTGCATTAACCGTTGTCGAATGTTTGAAGATACAAATATCACCATTGTTTATTTACTTTAGTATAAATAATAGAGAGCGTATGTGATTACTGATTATGATCATGAATAACACTGATTATTTCCATATATCGTTATATCTGAAGTCACATTCGTCTGTTACTCTCAATCAAGTGTCTATATTCTCTTCTGTAAAGCAGTAATCGAAATTTTAATATCTTTACCAATGTAGGTAAATGAGTTTCGAAACAAAATCGTAGGTGCATACAAATTTGCGTTTATTTGCATTACCTCAAACGCGTTTTGGAGTTTACAAAAAATTCAAATGTAATCACTTCTTGCACAGTAGTAAAAATTACATCAGAAGATACATTGGCCTCAAAAGTATTTTTGGCATACTGATTCAGCACATTATTTAGAAATAAAATGAACATTTATTTAGAATAAGACAACGTCAGGTTTTAATTCTTATTAACATAATTTTTGAAACGTTTCGAGAAATACTTTCTTTCCCCTTGCCTCACTTCATTGCCTCACTCAATGTCAGGATAAAATTGAAGTCTCTGCTACATAGATAATTCCTCATTTTGTTGAATGTGGATCTTGTTATTTCAATTGTTTTTATTTCCGAATCTGATGTCCATGACCCATTTGTCCCAAATATTTGTACTGAGAGACCTGTTCAATAAGTTGATCATTCATGCACAGCTGAAATGGTCTTCCATCTTTCTTACTAATTAGCATGGGCTTTGTTTTATTTATTTCTATTTCATAGTTTTGAATGCTTCATTTAATCTCTTCATTATTTCTTGCAGATCCAAAGCAGTCTTTGTCAAGATTTGTGTAATATTTGTGTAACGTATATTAGAAATAGGAATACCATTCACTTTTACTCCTAGATTACAACACTCTAAGGCATCTTTAAAACATGTTCTGAATACAGGTTAAATAGCAACGGAGATAGAATATACCCCTGTCTAACTCCTTTTCTCTCATCCACTTCCTCAGTAAGGTGCAGATCAACTCGCACTTGAACAGTTTGTTCCTAATTTATGTTTTTCATTATACATGTATCTTTTAAATATAAGTTAATACCCTCTAAAATATGCTGTTGTGTTTCACATTATCAAACGCTTTTTTTTAAATTTATAAAACATAAAAATACTTCTCGTCTTTGATCCAAAAACATCTGTACTAAGACGTGAGTGGCAAACAGGGCTTCGTTTCAAAAGTATTTCTAAAACAAAATTGTGTATTTCCTCTTTCAACTTCTACCTTTCTTCATATACGATCATGTGTGATGCGTAAAAATATCTTGAGAACATGGCCCACCAAACTTATCGTCCAATAATCGTTCCAATTTCTTGCCCCAGCTGCCTTTGGAAGAGTGACAAACAGATTTTAACCAATCAGTTGGCTGTTCTCAAACATAATCAAATAAAAAAGAATATAAGGGACTCTAAACGAGGCATTTTTCAATCGAGCGCAAGCGTCGAAAAAAAATGCAAATGTAGATAAAAAGTAACAGTAAGGCAACTAGACCAGAGAGTATTATCTGATTTATAGTGAAATTTGTAGAAGGCGCGCGAGAGACGCGAGTCTTTTACAGCGATACAGAGCACGACCGTTCAGAGTGGGTGCAACCTGGCACTTATTGCACTACGCGATCACTTATGCTTATGATTAACCCAACTTACCATGACGCAAATTACAGTACATTGTCATACACAAAATTCACTGTCGTCACATATTAACTGGTTTGTAGCGAATGTTGTAGATGCTCTTCTGATCTTTTGTTTCGATTGTCTCTTATGAATAGTACAAAACTGCTATTTTTCCTGGGTGTGTATACATTTCTTAGGCTATAACCGCAGTGTCACAGAGATTTGGAGCAGCTTCCATGGTCGCGAAGCCGATTGTGGCCGGTTCAACTAATTAAACTATTCATCAGCCTAAGGCCCTGCCAGAGTGGATTAGCAATCGCCTGAGGAAACCGTCTACAACGAACGACGGAATCTGAAGAACGACAGTGGTTATACTGCAGTCGAATCCCCCAGGCATTCGCCTTTAAAATATCACGTATAGACGACATGCAACGAAATCGAACGGATTAAAACTGCTTCCTGGGAGCTAGTTTTAATGTTTGATATGATTTTCGGTAAATTATATGTCAAAATTACCATTACATTAGTGTTGTTAGGTTTCTGTCTGTAATAATCTATCAGCATCCCATTGCATAAATTTCTCTCTCAATATGGTGCAATATTTTAAAACAAAATGAGGTATAAAGTGCGAAACATTCACATGGGTTAACATAGTGTGAAATATTGGAAGTACTGCCTAGACAGAAAATTGGAACATCGATCATTTTGAATCACCCATAATCCATTTCTACTCTATTAAAAAAAAACATTTGCATAATTAATTCACATCTCAAATTAAAATTATTGAGTTTAACAACAATAAAATATATTGATTGAATAAAAGAAATACTTTACAGTTCAACCCTAGGAGCGCGCTGTCCCCATCCCACTCCCAGTACCGTCACACATCCTCAAGCTTCCATTGCCTCACTTGCACCGGCTATGAACTGACGCGCTATAGGCCACGATACGGCCCATTCCAAAAACATTAATGTTTCTCTAAAGCGGGCATAGACAACTAAATTCCTCTAAATTGCGCTACTGGTATTCCAATTTAAAGGAGTCGTTATTGCAAGTTTATTTGGTTCTGCAACTTCTAAGTTGGTTTATCTGGGGAGGGCACCGCCCTAGAACCCTTAAGAAGCAGCTGCCATTACTTCCTAACTATTCGGCAATGAAATGTTTTGGCATAAGATGCGATCGACGTTTTTCGTTGAGCAGATTCAAGGTTGTTTTACGTCAATCGCGAAGCCAGATGCCTAATCCTCAATGCGCAGTGAAGCGTCAACTGCAGCCTAAGATATTCTAAGATCAATGTTTTCAGTTGGTATTTCATTCGTATGTGGTTGTAGTCGTTCTCCATGATTTCGCAGCTAATCAATTCCTTCTCGCGTGGCACAATAAGGCATAACACAATTTATCATCTACTTTTGCCTTCCTTAGGGCAAACCAACACAGACTTCTGCCACGGGGTCTTTCATGTGCTCCAACAACAGCTCTCTACCACGCGGTCGTTTTCTCGCGAAAGAAATAAAAAAGAAAGAAGGGAGGAAAACAGAAGACCAGCGCCCCACGAGGACAGTTGAAAGGGCGCTTGAGGGGGAGCGAGTTGGCCTCTGGGGTTATTCGTCTATTGCGCGAAACAAAAACAACGCAACGTCGCCTCGCCCAGAAGGCTTGTTTTTTCGTCTCTCTAGCCGGAAGTGCGGTTGACTTCGCGACCTCCAGAATCCATCTCGACGTGGAGCAGACCACAATGGCTGCGACCTTCTGCTGGAGGGTTTCATAGATGACGTGTCATCCGTTTTGTCTGTCAGCAAAACGCGTGTCTTGGGTCTTTGAGAGTCAATCCCTTATCATTTCACAGCAGGGTGATCCTTACGTTGACGAAGTTGAAATATCTTGATCTCCTCTTATTACATTTATATTTTGAAAAGAAAGATGTATGAATTTTCAAAAAGGTTAAAAAAGATTAACCCTTTGTCATCGAGCAATTGAAGATTTTAGAACACGGTTTTCAATTCGATATTTTTTCGTAGAAAGGAAGGTTGGGTAATAGGATAATATGTATATTAAAAGAGTAAATCTTGAATTAGCATAATTGAGAGTTTCAACACCAATAAATCAACATTTTTAAAAATCTTAACCAATAAAAATGATGTAAATTAAGGGCAAAATATTTAACAATCTGTGTTTACAATAAATAGAGGTAAATGACACAATGTATAAACGACGTGTATTATCACAGTTTCTTCTCATTCTTTATTTTTGTCATACCATATCCAAATCTGTTTTAACCTCTTTTATCGATGTTGCTTACGTCATCTTCCATGGGTCTATCTCTTCATTTGTCTTGATGCTCCGCAGATGATTCACAAGGAAGCGGCCTCGCCGTGACCAAAGACAAAAATGGCGTCTGGCAGTTGCAGACAGCGCGACCTCTGGACCGAGAGCTAGCAACTAACGACACTGTGGACGCGGTGGTAGCGAGAGCGCAACTCCTGTGCTCTGAGGTAAGGCTCTCATCATGACGTTCAATTCTACTGGATGGGTCTGGAAGACCCATGTAGTATTATATAAGCCTTATCTGCCTGATTTTTTTTTTTTTTAGTTTTAAGTTACTGTGTCGTCACGGGTATTTGACAACTGTCCGAAAATAATTAAAGATGTTGTCATTGCCAACAATGTTTTTTAATTCAAAAGCAGCTTTCAGACATTCAGTCGACTACCTGAGAGAAGTCCTCTAAATGCCTACCTTAGATTTCATTAACAGGAGATCGTTATTGCAAGTTTTATGTCGTTTCTCTTGCAACTTCTCTCCTAAGTTGATTAATCTGGGGAGAGCACCGTCCTAGTACCCTTAAAGAAGGCCGCTGCCCAATTAACTTCTAACTAAACTATTCGGCAAATGACTGTTTTGGCATAAGATGCGACTTCGAAGTTTTTCGTTGAGCAAAATTCAAGGTTGTTTTTAACGTAATCGCGAAAGCCAGATGCCTAATCCGCAATTGCCGCATGACAGCGTCAACGTGCAGCCTAAGATATTCTACGATCAATGTTTTTCAGTTCTGGTATTTCATTCGTATGTAGTTGTAAGTCGTTCTCCATGATTTCGCACGCGAATTCAATTCCTTCTCGCATGGCACAATAAGGCATAACACAATGATCTAACTTTTGCCCATTCCTTTAGGGCAAACCAAACACAGACCTTCTGCCACGGGGGTCTTTCCATGTGCTCCAACAACAGCTCTCTAACACGCGGTCGTTTTCTCGCGAAAGAAATAAAAAAGAAGAAGGGATGGAAACGAAGATCCAGCGCCCAGAGGACAGTTGAAAGGGCGCTTGAGGGGGAGCGAGTGCCTCTGGGGTTATTCGTCTATTGGCGCGAAACAAAACAACGCAACGTCCTCGTCCTCCGAAGGCTTGTTTTTTGCGTCCTCTCTAGCCCGGAAGTTGCGGTTGACTGTCGCGAGCTCCAGCTCGCCATCTCGACGTGGAGCAGAACCACAACTGCTGCGACGCTTCTGCTGGGAGGGTTTTCATAGACTGACGTGTACGTTCCGTTCTTTCTGTTCAGCTACCAAACCGCGCTGTCCTTGGTTTGAGAGTCAATCCTTTATCATTTCCAGCAGGGGATCTTTAGTTGACGAAGTTGAAATATCTTGATCTCTCTTATTACACTTATATTTTGAAAAGAAAGATGTCATGAATTTTCAAAAAGTTAAACAAGATTCACCCTTTGTATCGGAGCAATTGAATATTTTGAAACACGTCTAGTTGTTTTCATTTCGATATATTTTCGTAGAAAGGAAGATTGGGCTAATAGATAATATGTATATAAAAAGAGTCACATCTTGAATTGCATCTTGAGAGTTTCAACACCAATAATCAACCATTTTTAAAAATCTTAACCAATAATAATGATGTAAATTAAGGGCAAAATTTAGAATCTTGTGTTTACAATATAGAGGTAAATGACACAATGTATAAAGACAGACGTGTATTAATCACAGTTTTCTTCTCATCTCTTTATTTTTGTCATACCATATCAAATCTGTTTTAATCTCTTTTATCGAATGTTGCTTACGTCATCTTCCCATGGTTCACTCTTTAATTTGTCCTTTGATACTCCGGCAGAATGATTCCACAAGGAAGCGGCCTCGCCGTGACCAAAGCACAAAAACTGGCGTCTGGCAGTTTGGCAGACAGCGCGACCTTCTGGACCGAGAGCTAGCAACTAACGACACTCGTGGGACGCGGTGGTAG